ATGAGTTCCGCCGCAACCACGCCGGTCGAGGCTCCTATTTGGGAGTGGTCAAGGGCATCCGTCGGTTACAGGAGGCGGGGCTGGAGGTCCATGCGGTGTGCGTGGTCCACAACGGCAACAAGCAGTTGATCAAGGAAATGTACGACAGTATGGCGGGGCTGAAGGTGACCAGCATCCGTTTCCTGCCGGTGTTCGAAAGCGGCAGTGCCGGCAATGAGGACTGGTTGGACGGGGACACCTGGTTCCAGGTGTACACGGGGTTACTTCAGCACGTGTTGGAGAGAGCGAAGACCGGGGAGCAGTTGCCGCCCTTGGCGAATCTCACCGCGGGGGAGATCGGGTCGTTGCGGTCGTTCAAGCGCGAGTACATGTGCATGCGCAACCCTTGCGGCGCGGGGACGAACATGGTGGCGATCGACACCAACGGGGATCTGTATCCGTGCGAGGAGATGGTCGGCAAGCCCGAGTTCGTCCTGGGCAACATCGACACGGACGATCTGAAGCAGTGCCTGGATACGAGTCCGCTGATGGGCCAGTTGCGGGCTCGTCATGTCGATGAGATCGAGGACTGTCGGGTGTGCCCGTGGAAGCAGATGTGCCACGGCGGATGCGTGCACAAAAGCTACACCCACTTCAAGGTCCTGGACCGGGAGTCGGAGCACTGTGCCTACTACAAACGCATCTATCGGGAGCTGATCTGGATGGAGCGGGAGGCACCGGGCACCTGGCAAATCCTCAGTCCGAGTCCTGCTGTCGCATGAGGGCCGCCTCGGGGGTGCGGGCGGTTACGGTCGCCCGTCTGTTGCTGAGCGCCTATTTTTTCACCCCCTATATCGTGGTCTACGCGGTGGGGTTGGGGATCCCGCTGAGCCAAATTTTGGTGGTCGAGGGGATCTTCGCTCTGCTGGTGGTTGTATTGGAGATCCCGTCCGGGTGGGTGGCGGACCGGATCACTCCTCGGGTGGCGTTGATCCTTTCCGGGGTCGCGAACGTCGTGGGTTGTGTGATGCTCGCGATGGCCGATGCGGCCTGGATGTACTGGGCAGTGCAACCGGTATTCGCCGTGGCCACGGTATTGGGCTCGGGCAGTGACAGTGCGTTGTTGCTTCAAACCCTGAGACGTGAGGGGCGCACGGAGCAGTTCGAGCCGTGGGAGAGTCGCACTCAGTCCTTGCTACTGGCGACGTTGGCTATCAGCTACGCCCTG